TCTTTCCTTTTTTTAAAAATATTGATCACTAGTCTTGGGAATTATTTGTCTATAAGATGAAATACTTTGTCTTAGGAAAAGAAAAATGAAAAAATGCTGTTGCTTTGTACAGGGAAAGGCAGTGTTCAAGGGAAAAAACTTAAAAGCTAGAAGAAAAAAAAGAGAAAAATACAATAGAAACAGAAACTACTCTTTCATGGAAAATTGCCTTTTTAAATTTTTTTTTAATAAAGAGGAGTTCTGCTTTCTTACTTTGGGAAAAGTAGGAGTGGAATTCAGTGGAACATCTTAAATTTGGCAGATCCTAGTATTTCTGAGAGCCAGCAGTGGGTTGGGGGGCAGGTCTATAGTAAACAGTAGTGATTTTATTTATTTTTACTTTCTGGAAAAGGAGATAACACAATTCCAGAAGGTGCAATCATGTTTTTAAGGTTAAGAACCCATTTTACTGCACCTAGAGTAGTGCCATGCACAGAATGGGTGCCCGAGTTGTGTTGTGTTAAAAAAAAAAAGTAAACAGATTTTGTGCTTATCTTCAAGGCTGGCTTAAGTATAAAATGGATTTAATGGATTTTTAAAAACACTTGAAAAAATTAAAGCATTCAATTCATTAAAAAAAAAATTCCATATGCATCCCCAGGAAGGCGCTCAATGCCTAGCCACTGATCAGCGCCTCCCTGGAGTCAAAGCTCCTCCCAGACAGCTCACGCTGTTGCTAATTGAAGCTGGCTATGACCCAGATCCTACCACTGGTGAAGTTAACAAGTGTGGAAAAGGAAAAGTTGGTTTGTTCAGGGACCCTGGGAAAATAGTGACCTAACGTCCTCAGAGCGTCTCCAAGCTTCCCGGTTAGAAAAGGGGGCGGAGGGGGCTGCTGCGTTGCATCAGCGTACTGTGCAGTCAGGTTGTTGGCACAAGGCGGACGTCTGAGCATCACCAGGCTTATGGTTTCAGCCAGTCTGGGGGTCTGTGTGCTTGCAGCCAGCAGTTTTTATGTGCTGGGGGTCTGCTTCCTGTAGAAACAACGTGAGACTTGTGTCAGATCTTTGTTATCTTTCAGGGAACTGGTAATTTCATGACACAGCTATGTGGTTGGTCACAGTCTAAATTGTCACCAGTTTCCCAGCCTAAGGAGTATTCCTTTCTCCATATTCACATGTTCTAATCCTTAACTCTTAAACCACTGTTTTGAGACTCACAGGAGACCTGACTGACTACAAACAAGAGGCAGACAGAGGCCCTGGGTGGGGGGGGGGGGGGGGGGGGGGGGTGGTCTTTCCCACTAAGGCCGCCTAGAGCCCTTTTGGTTACAAGACCATTTATTACCCATTTTTCCATGATCCCAAGAAGCCCAGGGCCTCCAACAGCTTCCTATGTATTGAAGAGAATCTAAACATGGCCTCTATCAACTGGCATCCTATCCCTTTGTCTGATAACTCACCCAGCAAAACACCCGACCTGGCCCCCAGGACCTAATGTAGGAGGGATGGGAACAGGATTTCCCAGAGTGTGACACAGGGCTCCAGGGTGAGGCTGGGCATCCCCACTTCTACCCTCTGGTCCCACACGCATATTGTCTAGGAATTGGGACAGTGGCAGCCTATAATGGTTATTGATTAAGGAAGGAGTTGACAGAATTTTTCTACAGAAAAAAGTAAATCTCGTTGTCTCTTTAGGCCATTTGGTATCTGTCTCTGGGTGCAAAAGGAGCTTCCACATTTGTGGAGCACCAGGAGCCAAATATAATGTGTAAATCAACTGAGAACCAGACTTGTCCACTGTCCTGGCTTCTGACCCTGTAATGAGTGACCCATCCCCTAGAGAATCATCCAAGAGCTGCCTCAGTTGTCTGTTTATGAACCAGAAACTTACCCTGTCCTGCCCTGTAGCTTCTGGTGATGGGAATGTGATAGGAGGTGGGTCTGGCTGTTATGAGCTAATGCGCCCCCTCTGCAGTAGACTGGCTTCCTTGGTTCAAGGAGCGGTAGGGGACACTGTATGAAGCCACAGGTGTGAGCAGGGGATAGTGGCCCTGTATCAACTCTGGTGTCAGGCCTAGGTCACCTGCTGGTACATCTTATTTGTTCCCTGTGGCCCTGGTTATGCCAAGTCACACAATCACTTCTATCCTATGACGGCTGGCCTATCTGAACTAATGGTTAGGGGTTGATGAACCCAGATCATGATGGGCACCTCTGACATTCCATGACCAGAGGCCTCATCTCTGCCAGGCCCCAGGACCATACCAGGAGCCGCATTAAATGGTATGGGCTTTCTCACTGCAAGTGGTGTGTCCTTTCTTCAGGGCACTAGGAATCTGTGTTGTGAGCCTCCATTAAAATGCCATGTACAGCATGTAGGACCATTCTAACCACAGACACCTCTGATGTCACAGGTTCTGTTGGGTCATCTGCCCAAGAAGCAGGTCCAGCCACACTCATCATTCATCAATTGTGACTGCTTTTGTGCCAGCACAGCAGTTGCAGCAGAGACCTAGGGTCTGCGAAGCCTGAAATATTTCATATGTACCATTAGAGGAAACTTATGGGCCACAGTGGCAATTAAATGGAGATAAGGTAGGGATCACAGCTCTGCAGGCCTGGGGAGATTGTAGGTGGGAACTCGTTTTCCTTATTTCCTCCAGGATATGATACACGTCCTATCAGGGGATGGGGAGTCAGAGTCAGAAGTATGAATGTGGAATTCATTACTATGGTACCCTCACCCCATGGTAGTTTACTAACCACACAGATTATCCATTCATGTCAGAAGTCTAAGACATGTGAAATGAACACTGAGTGGATCTGTGGAGCCAGAGATAACCACTGTTAGCAGGACCTGGGACAGGTGTCTATTAACTGCCTGGTCCTTGGAGCATCAGTTCACAACATGGGGGCCATGATCATGCTACTGTTTCCATGCATGATGTTAGTAACACACTGGGTCCAATATGAATGTGGGAGTAGTTTCTCCTTCTGCAGTTCCAGTTCAGTTCAGTCACTCAGTCCTGTCTGACTCTTTGCGACCCCATGGGCTGCAGCACGCCAGGCTTCCCTGTCCATCACCAACTTCTGGAACTTACTCAAACTCATGTCCTTCGCTTCAGTGATGCCATCCAACCGTCTCAACCTCTGTCATCCCCTTCTCCTCCCGCCTTCAATCTTTCCCAGCATCAGGGTCTTTTCCAATGAGTCAGTTCTTTGCATCAGGTGGCCAAAGTGTTGGACTTAGTTACCACAGTAAATAGCCATGTGGCTCATCAGGAAAGAATGGACAGACATCTGCACTTGCTGCGGTAATGAAAGGGCCTGCCTCACTGGGATGTGGCTTCTTTCTCTGGTGATGCCTTGTGAGAAGTAGCTCAGTTCTGGAAATTTTGGTAGGGATGCTTGGTAGGGATGGCTGCTTTCAGCCTACTGATCATCCAGTCTTGTGTTTGTCTCTCATTTTTTTCTGTCTCTCAATCAAGCAGTTTGTATCTAGGTTCACTGTCCATCTCTCTGCCTCTAAGATCACCCTGTACTATGAACCAGCATTGTACTCTCTCCAGTCAGGCCCTGGCTGGCATTGGGACTCTCTGATCACTTTCAGCTTCCCTGATAGCTTAGTTGGTAAAGAATCCACCTGCAACACAGGAGACCCCAGTTCAATTCCTAGGTCAGGAAGATCCGCTGGAGAAGGGATAGTCTACCCACTCCAGTATTCTTGGGCTTCCCTTGTGGCTCAGCTGGTAAAGAATCCACCTGCAATGTGGGAGACCTGGGTTTGATCCCTGGGTCGGGAAGATTCCCTGGAGAAGGGAAAGGCTACCCACTGCAGTATTCCGGCCTTGAGAGTTCCATGGACTGTATAGTCCATGGGGTCACAAGAGTCAGACACAACTGAGTGACTTTCACTAATCAGTTTGACCATTGTACCAACTTTGCTCCTGACATACAACACTCCACCTGGAATCTGATCTTTCCCTATTTTCCATCCCTGTTCCTGCCAGAAGCCCACAGGGACACCACTCCTACCACCATCCCTGACCTTCCACAGAAGTCAGCCTTGAGCTGTTGGAGATGCTGCTCATCCACGCTTTCCTCTCGGGCTCCATAGAGTCCATCAGGCTTTCCATGGCGCCTGGTGGCCTGGACACTTTCCTCCCCTTTCACACCGTGTCCGCCCTGGCAGATTCACTTCTCTGAGCCTTTGATCCCCTCCTCTACCACCTGCCTCGGAAGTTCTGGATTTTCTCTTTCATGCCACGTGGGCCAGGGCTTCTCCATGTTTCCAAGACCCGTCCTAGTGGGAGATCAGCAGCGTCTCCCCGGCCTTGCTATGTCCTGTGACTGTAATTATAAACTCTTCCTTCTCCAGCGTTGGGTTCTGTGCTCACCCGCCACCTCTTTGCCCCTCTCCCTGTGATCCTGCTTCCTCAGGAGCATCCCCACAGGCTCCCCATCTCTCACAGGACACGGGGTTAGACTCTGGCGGTCCTCTGTCCTCTAGACCTTTCCTGCATAGCAGCCTGGCTCATCTCTGCAAAGGTTATGATGCTGGGACCTGACCTGGTGGACACGGGGACACACCAGGATGAGTGACCTTTGCCAGGCGGGGTCTCCTGCTTCTCCACGAGGAGGGGGCACTGGTGTGTGGTGTGTGTGTGTGGTGGGGGGGGGGGTTATTGCTCTGACAGCCAGCCCTGCACTGTACTCTGCTCTCATAACTGGGGGAAGGGGCCTGCGGGGCTTTTTTCCCCAACCTCACCTTCACTGTGTTTTGCCTTCACAGATGCTCATTCTCTTTCCTATAATTTCACCATCAATCCTCGGCCCAGACATGGACAGCCATGGTGTGAGGTTCAAGGCGAAGTGGATCAAAAGGTCTTTCTCTCCTATGACTGTGGTACAGCTGAGATCAAGTACGTGAGTCCACTGGGAGAGGAAGTGAAAAGTATGAACGTCTGGGAAATACAGACGGACGCACTCAGAGACACTGGAGACTTGCTCAAGGAGCAAATGCCTGACGTTACACCAGACAAAGACACAGACAAGGGTGAGTGAGGAAGTCCAAATGCAGGAGGAACAGACTGGGGGCTCAGCTGCAGCCACTGTTTTTGGGTAAAAAAAAATTTGGATATTGTCCTTTGCTAGTAGTCCAGTGGAAAGAGCAGCTGTTGCAGGAGAGACCAGGGCCAGATTAGCTGGGCCCAGAGGAGGTGGACCCAGGTGGGGCAAAGAATCTGTCAAGCCCAGAGGCTGACCTCTTTCTTTTTCTTGGTGGGGTCAGGCCCGCTGACCCTGCAGGCCAGGATGACGTGCTGGAGTGAAGACAACGGACACACCAGTGCATCCTGGCAGTTTAGCTTCAATGGAAAACTGTGTCTTCTCTTTGATTCGGAGAATGGACATTGGACAGTGGTTCATTCTAAAGGGAGGCGGATGAAAGAGAAGTGGGAGAATGACAGAGCTGTGACTGACTTCTTCAAGAAGGTCTCCATGGGAGACTGTCGGCTCTGGTATCAAGATTTCTTGGTGCACTGGGAGAAAATGTTGAAGAGCACGGGTAAGTAATAAGAGTAGGAGAAAGTGGTTGTTCTCTCATGGTGACATGGACCCACTCCCGTGTGTGTGTGTGTGTGTGTGTGTGTGTGTGTGTTTGAGAAAGTGATCCGTCAGAGGTGAGTTGTCCTGAAGAGCAATGACCCGGGGATGCTCGGTCATCATCCTTCCTCTTCCATCTCCTGATGTCTCTCCTCACAGCACAGGCCTTTGGATGACTAATCATGGATTTGTCCTGATCCCAAACCTGTAGACATCTTTTTGATTTCTGGGATTTATTTCTCACTGTAGCCTCTTTCCAGAATCTTCTTTTAAATGTCACCAGTCCTCCTTCTGGAAATCTGTCAACACCACCTCTGCTGTCAGCTTCTGAGGACTCCATCCCCATGTCACTGTCTCTGTCCCAGCAGGACTGAGTGGCTGTGTTGGAAACCTCGCTCCCCCATCAGCTGTCAGAGCCCCTGAGGATGGGGCTCCTCCCTTCCCCCATCTCACCTGGGGATCTATCACTGGGGCCTCCATGTGATGGGTGTAAACTGTCTGCACAGTAGGGGTACCTGAGTCAGGGGGGCGAGGAGGCATCTGCCGAGTTTGGGGTCTGGACAAGGGCGTCACTCTTACTCTCCTTGAAGCATCACCGACCACGGTGCCCCCTGCAGTGCAGCCCACAGCCAACTGCCATCTGTCTCATCACAGGGATCGCCGTTACAGCCTGTTTGGTCATTGTAGCCTGGATCCTTTACAACAGAGGTACTGAGGGCAGATTTCAGAGGGAAGGCAGGGGCACAGGGCCTGGTGTGAGGAGGGGGAAGGTGAATCCCAGCCAACCGCTGCCCCTCACTGAACCTCCTCATCCTGGAAATGAGCCGGTGAATAAGACCCCATGTCACCTGAGAGCAGCACTCGGACCAGCTCAGGCCTCAGTTCAGAAAGGTCCTCACTGTCAGATGACACTGGGAAGTGGTGCGGGGGTGACTGGGGCCTGTTGAAGTTAAAAGGTTTAATCAAGTCCCCTGACTGCGCACAGACCGCTGGCTGGCAGGGCCCAGGGTGGGTGGTGTGAGAACGGCAGGCGCTCAGGCCGAGGGCAGGACTCCCGGGGCTGAGAGCAGCATGGGGCTCCTCATGACGTGTCAGCGGGGAGGGGACCCACCCAGGGCCAAGATGAGAGGGGCCGGGCTCTCATCCCAGGAGGGGGAGCTGGAAAGGCCTTTGCAGACCTAACTCCAAAGGCCTGTTCTCACAGGAAGTGGCTTGGGCCAAGCAGGCAAGGCAGGAGCCCCACAGCAGAGACTGTGGGAAGGGGTGCGGCCAGGCCTGTGCTCGTGGAGCAGCAGCAGTTCTCACTCAGCCTGTGGCCTGCTCGTCACCAGCCTCCTGGGGACCCAGAGCCTCCATCACTGAGTGGCCCTGCCTTGAGCCCAGGTGCCTGGGGATGGTGGGCCTGAGCTGGGGTGGAGGCGCCCAGCTGGGCGGGACCAGGAAGAGATGGGGGCAGGGACCCTGGTCCTGAGAGCTGTGTGTGCTGCTGGCTCAGAGGCTGGAGGGGAGAGAAGGAAGGAGGTTTGCCTGCAGCCCCCCAAGGCTGTCAGGAAGCAAGGCCCCTCCTCCAGGGACCTGCTCCCTGGCCCTTTAGGCCCCCCTCGGGGAGGATCCGGACCTGAGTAAAGGGAGCGGATTGATTCCTCACTGGCTCCAGTCCTGAGCCTGAGCAGAGGGTGTCAGGGCCTGGGGTGACTCTGTGATGCAGGAAGGAAGGAGGAGGGGAGGAGAAGCTGCTGGGCCTGGGGTGGGGGTGGGGGTGGGGGGGGACATAGGAGCCCCTCAGTGAGGGCGGGGCTGGAGGGGGCTGGGGAGGGGCAGCCCCAGAAAAGTGACAGGAGTTCCTCACACTCCTGGATCAACCTCTTTCTTTTCTGCAGGAGATGGTGCTCCCAGGAAGCCCAACAGGTGTTCTGTCTGCCTTTCTCTTGTTCTTCTCTTTAGATCCAAGAGATCAGACCCCATGAATCCTGAGTATGGTATCCGGTTGCTGTGACACAGTAGATGCATCATCTCATGGCCTTTATCACATTTGATGAAATCCTACTCAGCATCTTAAAAAACAAAAACAGAAACAATTTATTTCACCACTTGTTTTTGGTGATATGTGATGGAATACCTATACTGAAATATTCAAGTACTTGAAGAAATCTCCAGAAACAGGACATTTTTCATCGTATTCTAGTTTGTGGATAGTTTGACTCTTCTGTGCCTCATGACCTCATTCTTGCAAATGATATTGCAAGAAAAATACCATTTGCTATTATACAACTCAGGGATTCTTTCTGTGTCTGGAGAAACCACCTCAGCTCATTTTCAATACAGCGAAGTTTTATTTATGACTGTCTCCCTTAATAATTTATTATGCTGAAAGTGAAAGTGTTAGCCGCTCAGTCCTGTCCAACTCTCTGCGACCCCGTGGACTGTAGCCCGCCAGGCTCCTCTGTCCATGGGATGCTCCAGGCAAGAACACTGAAGTGGGATACTGTTCCCTTCTCCAGGGACCTCTCCAACTCAGGGGTTGAACCCGCATCTCCTGTGTCTCCTGCATTGACAGGCAGATTCTTTACCATCTGAGCCACTGGGGAAGCCCATTTATTATGCTGCTGCTATTTAAATCAAAATCTCAGTACTCCAGAAAACTTGAAGTATTTAAGTTTCTCTCTCACGAGAGAAGTCATGATGTTTCACCATTTCTCTACCTTATGGGATTAAATGTACCTGGTGCTTCTGAGAAAACATGATCTGAGCAGATGCGTGCACCCTGTGTTCATGGCAGCGCTGTTCACAGCAGCCAGGCCTGAAAGCCACCTCGTGTCCACTGACAGATGAACGGATAGAGAAGATGTGGACATATATCCAGTGCAGTGTTACTCAGCGTCAAAAAGAATGAAATAACGCCAAATGTGCAACATGGATGGACCTGGAGATTGTCATATTGAGCGACATACGTCAGACAGAGAAGCAGAAACACCTTTTGCCATCACTTATATGCGGAATCCAAAAATTCATGACACAAGTGCTCTTACTTACGAAAGAGACTCAGAGACTTAGAGAGTGAATTTATGGTTGCTGGGGGAAAGGATGGGTGGAAGGGATAGTTAGGGAGTCTGGGATCAACATGTAGACACTGATTTATTTAAAATGGATAACCAACAAGGACCTACTGTATAGCACATAGAACTCTGCTCAATGTTATGTGGTAGCCTGGGTGGGGATGGAAGGGGAGTCAGGGAGTCTGGGATCAACATGTAGACACTGATTTATTTAAAATGGATAACCAACAAGGACCTACTGTATAGCACATAGAACTCTGCTCAATGTTATGTGGTAGCCTGGGTGGGGATGGGAGGGGAGTCAGGGAGTCTGGGATCAACATGTAGACACTGATTTATTTAAAATGGATAACCAACAAGGACCTACTGTATAGCACATAGAACTCTGCTCAATGTTATGTGGTAGCCTGGGTGGGGATGGGAGGGGAGTCGGGGAAGAATAGATGCATGTACGAAAGTGAAAGTGAAAGAAGCTTAGTTGCACAGTCATGTCCGACTCTTTGGGATCCCATGGACTGTAAGCTGCCAGCTCCTCTGTTCATGGATTCTCCAGGCAGAGGAGTACTGGAGTGGGTTGCCATTTTCTTCTCCAGGGGATCTTCCCAACCTGGGGTTCGAACCCGGGTCGCTTGCATTGCAAGCAAATTCTTTACCAGCTGGCCCACCAGGGAAGATAGAGACATGTATGTGTGTGTGAAATCCCTAGCCTAGCTTCTTTCTGCTGCTCATTCAGGACCCCTGCACTCCTCTCTGGGTGTATATTTCTGCTTTGCTTCCATATTAAATAAACTGTTTGTATGTCTCCAGTAATAACATTGGTACCTATTTTTACAGTTTTTGCCTTGAAATATTCTTGCTTTCGAAGACGGTAAGAGCCAAGGGAACTTTGCGTCTCGCCCCTGGTGTTCAGTGTCTAGAATTCCTCATTTTACACCAAGCTACCCAGGTCCAGTTCCTGGGCAGGAAACTAAGATCCCTCTCTAGCACCCCTCACTGCTGTCTCTCTGAGATCAATATTAAGGAAATATGCACCTTATATTAAGTTGTAACTATCTACCTCAAATATACAGGTAGAGGGGCTTCACAAGTTTGTCATGGGAGATTTTGCCTCCACCAAGAGTTTAGAAAAAAAGAAACTCCTCTCCAAGTTAACCTGGTTCCTTCCCTTTCTAGGTCCTTTAATGTCTATTGTTGTTCTATCCTTTCTAGTCCTTGTTTATTTAACCTTGTGATTGACTTTGTGCCTATAGGATCTACCAGTTAGAAATAACACTTGTGGTGGCTCAAGGAATATAGCCCGTTCCAGTGGAGGGTGGCCCAGATCCATGTAGGTCCCTGTGAGGGACTTCTGCACCTTGAGGGGAGGCTCAGTTCAGTGGTCCCTGTCCCGCAGGGAGAAGTTTGGATAGAAGAAAGCTTCGGCCCCTTAACCCTTCAGAATAAGGGTGTAGAACCCCTCAGTGGGTAATGAGACAGGCTGGGACAGTTTGCTACAGTGAGTGTACCTGGACAAAAGTCACATCAAGCATCAAAATACAAAGAAATTATAAGGAGCTAAAAATAATTGTGTGCCTGTGCAGTTGGGGCAAATAATCAACAACAAGATACAAAAAGACCAAAAACCCAAAGCGATTTCAGAGCAGCCAGGAGCAAAAGCAGGTACTGGTCATGATCCCTGCACACAGCACCACCAAAGGGGAACAAACCACCCAGGTCATCCCCCTGGTCGGAACCCAGGACCCACCCCCACCCTCATCTTATACATGGGACTGGCTCCCCCACCCTCTGGAGCCAGCAAGGGAACATGTTACTTGTTTTTGCTCCCTCATGAGTCCCAATGAATCTTCTTTTCCCCTGAATCTGTGTCTGGCCTTTTATCAACTTCTATTGATCGAGTCCAAGAACC